TGAATAGTGACACACATCAAGAGTCGAAACGTATAATTAATTTTATTTAATCTTTTGTCAATTTTACGAATTGGCTGCAAATTAACTTCAAATATATGATTTAAAATTCAATTTCTGTAAAATTGTTTTTTGCGAAGAAAATTATTTCTGAAAGAAAATCTAACAGATCGCTCCAACGCGTCATAGAAGAAAATAACCCACTTTCCTACATATGACGTTGTATCTGAAATATTTATTTATATACAAAAATATACATTTATATACGTGTATATTCATATATATATATATATATATATATATATATATATATATATAATATGTATATATATGATGTATATAATGTAATATTGTATATATTGTAATATAAAAGTAATTTCAGCTTTTCCTTAGTCCCACGTGAACAGAAAACGATTTTCTTTTCTCTATTAATGTGTTGTGCTTTTGAAATCTTATATAGACCTATGGCTAGTCATAACATTTCACTTTTCACATTTTGCGAAAATCCTTCAATTAAATAAAAAATTTAAACTCTGTCTGAAATAAACAGAGAACATATTTTATTTAATGCTGTTTTGAAAATATTGAGTCTAGTCAAATATTGAGACCTTTTGAACTTTCAACTTTTAGCAATGATTTTTCTAGAAAGAAATTGCTTGAAATTTTTATAAAATAAAAGAATGTATCTTTGTAAATTCACGATTTATGAATTATTATTTTTTGTGTCATCCTTTTTCTTTCTCGCGAAACTTCAAATCCTTGAAATCTAACCAATTAGATTAAATTCATATTTCTAATTTGCATGCTAGTAGTGTTCTTTTCTATACAAATAGCTTAGCAAATATTTTGTAATACTCTAAAAATTTGTGATATTCCAAATATTTTATGATGCTCTCTTTTTTAGATAAAATTCTTTCCAGTTTCATCGATATGATGATGTTGATTTTTATTATTTTTTTTTGAATGTTTTTGATCCTAAAATGTTTTTTTTTATCAAAATGTTGTACTATAAAAGTTTCGTCCGCAAAGGCCATCTATCGTCGAATTAAAGGTCGACCTTTTCAGCACGTGGTCGAATGAATGTATATTAATTATGCAAATATAAAAGTTCTTATAATGTAAATTTATACATTATATATATATATATATATATATATAATAATAAGAAACATTTGTGTTTGCTCCTTCTTTACTGGGTTGTATTATATCGATTTGGCCTATATATATTTATGTATATACAAAATATATTATGTACAGCAAGTGTCATAAACTGGCGGCTGAAGGAAAAGAATAAAATGTAATAAAAATAGTTTAAATGTTAAATAATAAAAAAATCTATTTACATGTCATGACAATCTATAGTTTTTCTTTTTCTAATTATCAAAGGTGACTCGTTTTGCCACATTACTCCCCCTTTTTTAATAATTGAATATAATCCTTAAACTTGGTAAAAATGCTTTGAATGAAATTTGAATGGAGCTTTAATAATAATAATGTAATAAAATTAAACCAAATTTAAAACTTATTAAAATTAATTATTGTGGAAATTTATTCATTAAATAAAAAATTTCTATAATACTATATTAAAATACGTATCTTTTTCCAAAAGTCGGCATGTCATGACAAACCTTTGTTTTTTCAATAATTAATTATCGAAGCTAACTCGTGTTGCCACATTACTCCCCCCAAAAAGGTAACTTTTATAAAGATAAAAGTTGACACTATTTTTTTCATTTTGCCTGGAATTGAAAATATTTCACTCTCTTAATATTAGATTTTTTGACTATTATTTATAACACAAAATATTTTTTCAAATATTTTCTTGAGCTTTAAAAACTGTCTACATTGGACTGAATCTAATATAAATTTTATTTTAATTTTATTATTATTATAATTTCAACTTACTATCCCTTGACATATGTGGCCTTAATAAATTAAGTATATAAAGTTGACTCGAGTTACCACATTACTCCCCCTTTTTATAAAAGCCAACAGTATGTTTGATTTTTCCTCAATTTCAAAATATTTCACACATTTGTAATACTAGATTTTTTGACAAATTCGATAAATAATACAGAATACAGATCTCTGTCTATTATAATCGTATAAACATCTAATCAGAGTTTGTGTTTCGGTGATTTTAAACAACAAAAAGATAAGAGATAAAAAAATTTAAAATCTGTAAAAATTATCTTGCCACGAAATCTTCGAGTTATCAAATTTTAAGATAAAAAATTTTCCTAAATGATATTTTAAAATTTAAATCTCTTTGTTATCAGAAATGGAATTTGTTACGTTGTTGTGCAATTTCTTTTTGAGATTGAAAAGATTTGAAATGTTATTTATAGATACTTTATTTGAAATTTAAAAAATAACGGATTGATTTTGACATCTTGACGAATCTAATTCTGTTGCAGCCTACTTCATGTCTAATTATTTAAACTTTGGCAAATTGTGTGCAGTAAAAATTAACTGCATTTAACGTGTCCGCCATCTTGTAAGATGGCGTTTACGATTTATACTCAATTAAATTAGGTATAATATTTTAATTAAATTTCAATTGTTGAAATTCAAACATTAAATCATTTATTGTAGTTATTAATTTATTTTACTATTTACCTTTCGCCCTTGTATCTCCGCAAATTCCTATTAAAATTTTAAACAAATATTTTTTCTCATCGCCACCCAAGTGGATTTGTTATTATTTGATGGTTAAATAATGTTCATTGTCTTTTACAATAGCTAAAATAGATGTTAGCAAAATGATAAATGCTAATAGTGTGCAAACAGTACGTTTTTTGTTTGAACAAAATATATGAATGAGGATTTTTGTGCGAACGTAAAGACGCTAATTAACTTTCGGGGAATTTGTGGAAATCTACAACGGATTTGGTGTCAAGGGAAAAAGTGTGATTTCCTTAGAAGAAATATTTGTTTAGAAGAAGTTTATATATTTATTTATCTTCTTGTCCTGTGGCATTCAGTACCCCTTATATTTTCTTCTCCCATGTTGAATTATTTAATTAGTTTAAAATATTTCTATAATGCGTTGTAAATAAATTATCTGCGTTATCAACGTCTTTAATTGTTTATTTTGACATGACGCAGGTGCTACTCGTGTGCAATTAGTGCAAAAAAAAATTTAACTCTGATAATAATTTCAACAACAATGGGAGCACTGTGTTAAGTGCACTAAGTCATTTAGATAAGAAAACGTTAATTGTTTAATTAATAAATGATTTGATTTATATATATATATATATATATAAGTAAATGACATTTCTTTTCTTTTCTATTTATTATTAATCATTCTGTTATTATTATAATTTGAACTAGTACATTGGCATTCGTAAGTTGGCACCACGTGGCATGCAGCTGCTATATTCACGCCTGCTCTACATGTCTGCCCTACAGATAACTTCACTTTGCAAACACAATTTGCATTACATATGCTTAATATTACCATAATTTTTTGATTTTATTAAAAATTTTAATAGTTTACGTATATATATTTTTATTTATGAATGGCAATGTGCTAGAATATATTTTTTGACAAAAAAATCACATGATATTTTTTTTTGCATTTTTTTTCCATAAATGCCACGCGTAGAGTTTATACAAAAACCGATATTTCAGAAAACCGGTTTTCGAATTTTAATTTTACTAAAAAACCGGTTTTAACCCGTTTTCGAATTTTATATAGAAAATAAATTTTTGCTCGAATATTCTAATTTATCCGCAAATTTAGTGTAATTCAGAGCAGTATTTGACTGAATTCATTAATTATTCAACTTTATAGATAGTAAACAAAATTATTTTAATTTTAATTAGTAGAACTATAAAATAATAGTTTATCTGGATTAAGTAACTTTGAAAATAATTATTTGTTATTCATGCATCATTTTCACATATAAGAATAAAAATATTTTCATGATAGTGAGAGGAAAGTTTTTGAATAAATTAAAATAATACATTTTTAAATAAAAAAATCATTAAATTAAAAAAAAAAATTAGATACATGTTGATACATACTTGTTAATATCAATTTTAGTTTTAAAAACAATTAAGCTAAATTCGGGTATTGTTCGAACAGACATTCTGAAAAAAATATATATATTGAAAAAAATAACTATTGAACTACCTTTAATCAGTTCGGCCCTAATTAATTCTTAATTTCATATTTTAAGTGAATTTATTTGTCATATCCTGTTCATATGTGTATCATTCAATCTGCCATACATATATACATACACTTCTCAGCTGCTTTTTAGCAATAATAATGTAGACATTTCATTTTTCTTATTTATAATCATAAATTTATTATACATATTCTAATATTGTCTAGGTTCATAAGTAAATTGAAATTTTTGGCAAATGAAAGTTTACATTTGTTTTCAATGCCAACAATGACATGTCGTTTTTTTGCATTTTTTCCATTTATTTCTACAATATTGCACATACATCCCAGTACTTTATAATCACATACATCCTAGAAAATTTCCTTAACAAACTTCAGAAAGAATTATCAAAATCAGAATAATCGTTTAAGAGGAGTATACAGTGAGTGCTTGTAATTTAATATGAACTTTATTTAATAGCAATAAAGCTCAAATTGATTCTACGTTTCAGTTAGTGAACGTTTGTATGTGAAAAAGAAAAGGGGTGTTTTTAGGGTTTTCCCGGCAATTATTCAATTTTTTCTCGCCGTAAGAAGCATCCTTGGACTTCAACGAACATTTAAAAAAAAAAAATGGCTAAATTGGTCCAGACGTTGTTGAGTTATGCGTTTAACAACACATTTTGCGATTCACTTTTATATATAAGATGATTACGAACATTTTCAATATTACTGGCATGACAAGTACTTGGACAGTTTGCTGCCTCGTACAGCAGTGTCACTCCTGCAGAAAATACTCTTGTAACGAAATTGTTAATATTTGTAGAAATATTTACTTGTGACTTCACTTTACTTAATAATTTACATTTTTCTTATTTTTGTTTAGCTTTCCACATGGCTCCAAACGTCAACAAGATCTTCCCCGAGTCGTGTCTCCTGATCGTCGTTGGTGTCATCATCGGAGTCGCCCTATTTTATGCCACCAATGTTCAGGTGTCAACTTTGACTCCTGACACCTTTTTCCTGTACATGCTGCCGCCTATAATTTTGGACGCCGGTTACTTTATGCCGAATCGGCTCTTCTTCGATCATCTGGGGACTATTTTGCTGTTCGCCGTCATCGGAACAATCTTTAACATATTGACCATAGGTAAGGGATAAGAAAATTTACCCTGAACGGGCGTGTTTCCATACAGAATTGGCCCCACCCTGGTATTTAAAAAAATTTGATGTCATTTTATAGGTATTTTTGAGAAAATTCGAAATACCAAATATCAAATCCGTAGCTCATCATTTGGCCGAGATATCAGTGAAAACATGTAAAAGTGGCCCCTTTTTTCAAACTCACTTTTTGTCGGAAATATGAGAGATATCGAAAAACTGTTAACGTCATTCTATTTATACTGATCTTGTCTATGTTGTTAATAACAAATAATGTGAAAAAATTATTTGTTAGTGCGTGAAAAGGTGAAAATGATTTTTCATTTTCCATTTTCTACCAGTGCTAATTGTTTGACTACTTTTATATTAGCATCATTCGAAAGCCTGTACGTTTTTCTTTTGTTATTCAAAAATCCATTTAAATGTAAGTGGAACTTTGGGAGAAAAGTTGGAAAAACTTAAGCTAGTACGCGCGCTGCCGGTACAAAAACACCCATATAAAGTCGCTTTGCAAGAGCGACGAGCAAGCATAAGGCTCGTCGTTTTCGCGCGTCTCGTCAAATTATGTATATAAGTATGGAAATATTTATTAAAAACCAAATTTTATTTATATCTTGTATATAAGTATATTTATTAGTCATAATAAAAAATCCAACGCGCCGAATAAAACAATAATTATTATTATTGATTATTTTCATACGCCGTATAAGCTTCTGACTAATATATTTCAATGTATGAAAAACTTAAGATTTCAATATGCCAAATGATGAGCTACGGATTTGAAATTTGGTATTTCAAGTTTTTTCGAAAATTCCTATAAAATGGCATTAAAATTATTAAAATACCAGGGTGGGGCCAATTCTGTTTGGAAACACGCCCAGACCCTTTACCATTTTAATAATATGTTTATTTTTAGGTGTTTCCTTATGGGCATGTGGTATCACCGGTTTATTTGGGGTCGAGACACCACTTTTGGACATGTTCTTGTTCTCGTCTCTGATCTCGGCTGTAGATCCTGTTGCAGTTCTGGCAGTATTTGAAGAAATCCACGTCAATGAAGTAAGTTGGCATCAGGGTTTGTCGGTTTTTAAAAACCGTTTTTTTGGCGAAAATTATGAAATTCGAAAACCGGTTTTTAGTGGAAAAAGTCGGTTTTCACTGTATAAATGGAAAATGACAAATATAGCCAAATATAGAAGATTGATGAAAGCGTTTTGATTCTTGAAATGATATCGGTTCAATAGCATTTGATATCTTAGCAGTCTGCAATGGTTCTCAGAAAGGTTTTGTATATATTAATTTAGATTTTTATACCGGTGTATATATTAATTTAAATCAGTGTGACTTTTCTTTTTAAAAGTAACTTCCTCTACTCAAACTTAAAAAATAGTTTTAAACCCTAGCCACAAATAAATAAACAAAAAACTTATATCAGAATTTTAAAACAATTAAGCATAATTTGGTCGTAAGTATGAGAGTATTCTCTATTTCAGGAAATTTTGTGAGTAAACAAAGGACAAGTTTAAGTAGCAATTCGATAGACGTTCTCAGTTTTTTAAAATCATATTTTATTAAACAAAAAAACAATTAGAATGTTTAAAATTAATTTCTTAAAATTGCTGGGAACAGACAATACCCGAGTTTAGCTTAATTGTTTTTAAAACTAAAATTGATATTAACAAGTATGTATCGACATGCATCTAATATTTTTTTTAATTTTATGAATGTTTTTTATTAACTTCCCGAAGGAGAAGTTTATGTTTTCATCAAAAAATCCGAATTGCTAATTTTATGTTTTCTCGACGTTTCAAGCCATTCTGAATCGAATGAGACAAAATTTGGAAAAAGTATGTGTGTGTGTGCGTGTGCTCGCATAGATTTTTTACCGTAAATCGACGTTTTCTCAAAAAACGGCTGGACTAATTTCAAAAATTTAAAAGCCATTCGATGTATCTCGACGAGGACTAGCGTATATCAATTTTGCGCGACAATCAGCCAAGCCGTTTCTTTGTAAATAGCAGAAAAGTGAAATTTCGTCCACGTTTTAGCCCGCAGTTCCGAATCGATTTTGAAAATTCTAATACCGTTCGAAAGATATTGGTTGGGAATCGTGCTGATTAGTTTTTGGTAGAGATCGGCCGGGCGTTTTCTTGTAATAAAGTTTTTTTTAAAAAATTCGACGATTTTTATGATTATTTTTTTGACGGTAGATACCATAGTCTTCTTGATCATACTAAAATATTACGGTCCTACGACAAGTCGTTTAGCTTTAAAAATTCGTCAAAGTTTGCAAAAATTAGTATGGTCTTTTTGGCATTTGTCAAAATTAGAACTTTCATCGGCGTTTGCTCAAAAACGCCTGAACCGATTTCAGAAATTTAAAAGCCATTTGATGTATTTCGGTGAGGATTATCGTTGCTCAGTTTTGTGCGACGATCGGCCGAGTTGTTTCTTTGTAATTTGGAAAAAAAGTGTTCAACTTTATGTTCACATTTGATTTTAAAAAATCAAAAACTGTTCGAAAGATATTAGTTGTGAATAATACTGATTGGTTTTAGGTGAAAATCTACCGAGCCGTTTTCTTGTAATTAACTGTTGAAAAAAAAATTTAAGCCGATTTTCATGGAACTTTTTTTGGCGATATATATCATGGTCTTATAGAACTTACTGAAATATTACGGCCTTACGACAAGTAGTTTAATTTTTAAAATTCATCAAAGTTTGAGAAAATGAGTAGTGTTTTTGGACGTTTGTTAAAATATAAATTAGACGATTTACTTGGTATAACGATAGAGTACTTGGTCTTAATGAACATGCTAAACAATTAAAGTCCTACAAAAAACTGGCTCAATTATAAAAATTATTGATTTGTGAAAATTTGCTTTTAGAAAATACTCCGAGTTAACGTGTTCGTTCGTTTTCAATTATGTGTAATAAATTCACTCGGAATACTTTTAATCACTCATAAATTAATTAATCTATCATGGATTAAGTCGATTATTTACATAAATCGGGAAGTTTATGTAACTTCCCTCAAGGCAAAATACCAATACCAACTAGTTTCAATTTTAATTCTTATTTTTTAGGTTTTATACATCGTTGTCTTTGGAGAATCTTTGCTCAACGATGCCGTCACAGTCGTCCTCTATCATATGTTCGAGACTTACGGTGAAATGGGTGCTAGCAATATCGAGTACACGGATGTCCTGGCTGGTCTTGCCAATTTCTTAGTCGTTGCAGGAGGTGGTACCATAATAGGTAAATTAGTGATGGAAATATAAATACACCTAAGTCTGTTTTTACACGGTAGATTGGTTCCAGAAGAAGCCGTGTAAAAAAAACGTGTAAAAAAAGACATTGATCTTATACAAAAATGGGTGATTTGTTTCTAATCTCTAAAACCTATTAAAATTAGTGAAAAACTAGAATTTTTAAGAACAAGAATTCACATTTGCAGTGCACAATAAAAATTGTTTGTACGCGCTAAAGGGGAATTCACTTAAATCTTTAAGCTAGCGTTCGCAAACTATCGATACTATCGATGGTTTCAGACTTTTTTCTTTCATAAATACTTTTTTGTGATATGAACATACTTCGTAAAAATTAAATTTGGCAAAAAAAATTTAAGTACATAAAATTTCAAATCGTGCTAAATGGAATAAAATCGTGCAAAACTAGTGGGGTGGGTGGCATCGTGCCTTAAGGCAAATTGCTGGAACTTCCCGTACCGTAACGAAATGTTCGAGGAATATTGAATGTTTTCAAATAGATTATTATAAATATTGTAACATTGTCTAATATTTATAAGAATTATATAAACTGAATTGCAGAGTTGAAATTATTTGTTTAAAGTATATTAGAACTATAGTCAGAATTAAAAATAAAATCTGAATTATTTTCGATATACAAAAAATTAAAAAAAAAAATCCGAAATCAATTATTTTGTTAAGACAAGCAGAAAGTTTTTTGAATCAATTGAATCGGACGCTTAGTTCTCTCAAAAACTGCCATTTTTTACATATTTGGCTCCGTATCTTCAAAATGGCTGGGCCTGCCTTTGCCAAAAACTATTAACCCCTTCTCCCAATCATTACTAATAGAATGTTTTTTAGATCATTCAAATCGGATGCTCCGTTCTCTCAAAAACTGGATTTCTATTTTCTGCACTCTTTGCTCCTTATCTCCGTAACTGCTGGACCTGCCTCTGCCAAAAACTAATCAGCACATCTCCTTATCAATAGGAATCGAATGTTTTTCAAACCATTCAAATCGGTTGATCCGTACGCCCGGAAACGTGACTGGAAATTTGTATCCATACACACACACACACATACACACACACACATCCATTTTTTCTGAAGTATGCCAAAACGTTCAGAAACCTTCAAAACGTCGAGAAATGTAAAAATTTTCAATTCCGATTTTCGGCCCATTACAATAACTTACCCTACGGGAAGTTAAAAATTAAAAATATTCAATTTTCAAACCGTGTTATATCAAAACCGTGTACAAAAAGACCGTGTAAAAACAGACTAAGGTGTACTTGTATTTGTATATTGAATAGTTAATAACTGTGTATTTTTATCTAGGTATTATATGGGGTTTTGCAACTGGCCTGGTCACTCGTTACACACACGAGGTGAGAGTCATCGAGCCTATCTTCATCTTCGTTATGGCCTATTTGGCATATCTTAATGCTGAAATATTCCACATGTCTGGTATCTTAGCGTAAGTATATAATTGATAATTTAAAATTTTGTAGGAAACAATGGATCCTAAATTTATTTTGCTTCACTGGTTGTGATATTCCATAGTTTTATTTAAGATACTGCTCAAAGATAACAGAAGTAAAAGTGAAAGTAGATTTTTTGTTTCTATTTTTTTATAGTGTGGTATTAAAAATATATACAAGCCTGATATTTTACCACTTCATCACCAACCCCTATTTTTTGTAGCAATTTTAGTAATTCAATCATGTTTTTAGTTGTAGTTTAGATTTTTGAGCTTAAAACTTACTGAGGAAACTTTTGATTTTTATTAAATTTTGCCCAACCCCAATATTTTTTTTATTGTTATTCTAATTTTTAACTTCTCGTAGGGTATAATAGTAATGGGCCGAAAATCGAAATTGAATATTTTTGCATTTTTTCACGTTTTAGAGGTTTCTGAACATTTTGGCATACCTCAGAAAAAATGGTTATGTGTGTGTGTGTGAATGTATGTATGGATAAAAATTTTCGTCCACGTTTTCGGGCGCACGGATCAACCGATTTGAATAGCTCAAAAAACATTCGGTTCCTATTAATAGGGAGATACGCTGATTAGTTTTTGGCAAAGGCAGGTCTAGCCGTTACGGAAATACGGAGCAAAGAGTGCAGAAAATTAAAATCGAGTTTTTGAGAGAACGGAGCATCCGATTTGAATTATCTAAAAAATATTCAAATCGTAATGATGGGGAGAAGTGGTGATTAGTTTTTGGAAAAGGCAGGTTCAGCCATTTCGGAGATACAGAGCTAAATGTGCAAAAAATGGCAGTTTTTGAGTGAACTAAGCGTCCGATTTGAATGATCTAAAAACTTTTTGCTTGTATTGACAAAACAATTGCTTTTGAGGATAAAAAATTAACTTTCCATAAAATATTTTTGTAATTTCGGATTAAAAATTCAAAAAAATACCCAGGCTAAGCACAGTCTAAGCGCCACTCTAGTACAAATGTTTACCCAAGTGCGTTTAGACTGTTTATGTACTGGAGCACTTTTCCAATTTTGTGAAAACTATTGAAAAATGTGAAAATGTCGCTAAGCTAAGCACGGTATAAGTGAAAATGGCGCACAGATTTATTTGCAAATGCGTTTAGACTGTGACTATACGGGAGCACTTTTTCAATTTTGTGCAAATTAGGCAACTATTTTTTGAAATTGAATTCGAAATGAAATGACGATTGTTAATGTTCTGGAGATGAATTGATTTATTTATAATTTGCCTTAAGGCACGATGCCATACACGCCACTAGTTTTATTTTGCTTGCTCAAAGATGACTTTAGTACTATGCTTTTCTTTGAAATTTATGGACCATTTTATCTATGATAAAAATGTTATAGTAATGCAATGTTACGGGTTTATCTTCGTATGAATTAGTCAAAAAGATATGTTTTTTTTTTTTATTATTATTTATTTATTCATAAGCAAGCCGTAATCATAATTTGCTGTGCGATCAGGCGTTTTACACATAAAACTTAACTTATCCTACAAAACGCACAAAAATCAAATAACAATTTTATCATAAGTGCAAATTTCTGATGTTCCTTTGATAACACATACATGAAGTTAGGTTATTATATGGTTATCTTATTTCTTTTTTCAGTATTACATTCTGTGGTATAACAATGAAGAATTACGTAGAGGCCAACATCTCCCACAAATCTCACACGACAATAAAGTATGCAATGAAAATGTTATCGAGTTCTTCAGAAACCATCATCTTCATGTTCTTGGGTGTTGCAACCATCAACGATTCGCACGATTGGAACACTTGGTTCGTGCTGTTGACAGTTTTCTTCTGTTCGTTCTTCAGGATATGCGGTAAATAAAATATTATATAAAATATAATTAATAAAATTCATTTTATAAGTTTAAATTTAATATAGTATTATATAATTGATGTTAGAATTATTTTGTATTTCAAATGTTTGTTTTTTGCAGGTGTTGTGATATTAACGGCTTTGGCTAACAGGTTCAGGCTGCACAAATTGAATCGGGTTGAGAAGTTCGTGATGTCCTATGGAGGTAAGTTAAAAAAATCATTTTGTATCTATAAACATTATAGTTGTTTGCATTTTTATTTTCAAAACAAATATCTGAATTTTTGGTTAAATGCACTGGTTTTCTTTAAATTCGTAATTTCTCAAATTTGATGTTTAATTAACAACTTATTCATTATATTCTTATAGATAATCTTATTATTAGATTATTGCTTATAAATAAGTAAATTGTCATTTTTAGAATGTTTATTTAAAATTTTATCAATCCCACGAATAATCATATTCTTCAATATCTAAATCTGTGTCAATGTATCCGTTTGTGGAATAATTTTGTGTGCCATTTTCAATTTCAAAATAGTCGTCTTTGAGACTTGTTAAGTCTTCACGGGCTTCAGAGAACTCGCTTATGTCCATACCTTCATTGAGATACCTAGAAGTAAATAAATAATAAACATTTTCAAATTTCTTTGCTCCCAAAGGGCTCAAATGCTTCCAAAATAATAAAAAAATGACCTCTAAAAGTTTCAGCTATTAATATTAACATTTAGATAGTGCGCAATTCAATTAAAAGTTTCGTATGTTTATTATTAACATATGTCATTAAGTAAATTCTTGCGCCATCTTGTGATAGCATCTGTGAACTAAAATATGACACTTAAAAATATCTACTAAACACTTGACCTCTAATTAGAACCATGTGGACTGTTTAACGAAATATTTATCATGGCATATTATATTTAATTGGTGATGTTGAATTCAAATTGTCAGTAATAGATTGTCATCAAAATTACAAGTCTGCGATCACAGATGGCGCAAGAATTTACTTAATAATAAATATACGAAACTTTTATTTGAATTGCGGACTATCTAAATGTTAATATTAAGAGCTAAATCTTTCAGAGAATAGTTTTTTATCAATTTGGAAGCATTTGAGCCCTTAGGAGCAAAGAAATTCGAAAATGTCCATATTAAGGACCACCCTAAATTATATAAATATGTATATATAGTATCTTATTTTTACTCTTACCAATGTATGAAAGCTCTCTTCGAATACATAAGATCATACAGCATTGTTAATCTGTCCCATGCTTCCCACATCGAAGTGTTATTCGATAACAAACAGACATCCCTATGCATTCTGCACAAATCGCTGCCAGGATGAAACATAGGAGCCTGGACGTTTAAACCAACCTGATAAAAATAAATCATCACTTTATGGGGAAATTCTGCCTTAACAGAGCTAATGAAATAGCGTTGTCATGGCAACACTCTTAATGCTTGTTCTTGTTATTGAAAATTATGAAAATGTCTATCTATTTGTGTGTATTACATATAAACAAGTATGATGTTATGATAACTGCACCATCTAGCACCATGTAAAATACGCTTGATCGCACAGGAAATAGAGACATTTTCATAATTTTCACTACCAAGAACAAGCATAAGAGAGCGTTGCCATGACAACGCTATTTTATGAGCTCTGTTACGGCAGAATTGCCCCCTTAAAATTGCTTTGAGTAACATTTGATACAAATTAGCTTTGATTTTTTTATTTAAAGTTTTTTTAACAAACTAGTGTTTGTTTTTAAACCTGTACCTTAAATCCTGTGGGGCACCAATCCACAAATTTTAGTGTTTTTCTGGCCTTGACTGCGCTAACACTGGCATTGATGTCACTTGGTGTCACGTCTCCTCGATACAGGAGACAGCAGGCCATATATTTGCCTTCTCGGGAATTACATCTATAAAGTATATTATAATGAATAAAGGATTCTCAAAATCCAAAACAATTCAAAACTATGTGTTCAGAACATATGAATAATTTGGAACACACTTTTAATACAATCATTTTAAATCAAGAGAAAGATAGATAAATAGAGATAGATAAATAGATAGAGAGAAAGGCAGAGAGAGATATACTAGAGATAAATTGATAGAGAGAGAGAATAGACGGAGAGAGAAAATAAATAGAGAGAGAGATGGATAAAGAGATAGATACATAGATAGATAGATATTAATATATATAGATAGTGCAGGATCTTGTTTCATTCAATTAAATTATTCTACTGGTAATAAACTAGGTAGCTGTTCTCTTTTACTTTTTGGCAATTATCAAAATATAAAGTTTGTAAATCAAATTTAGCTCTTACTATTTTATCTCATGTTTTGTATTTGAAAGCAAAAAATGTTCTATAATTTTGTGTTTTGAACATGTCAATATTTTAGTTTTTTCCTTGAATGCTACATATTATTTTAAGTTAGTCTGTGAATTAATTTATGGTACTGAGAGAGAGGGAGAGAGATAGAGACAGAGAAAACAAGTGAAAGAGATATAGACAGATAAGGAGAGATAGATAAAAGAAAGAGAGGCAGATAGAGGAAAGAGAGGCAGATAGAGGAAAGAGAGACAGATAGAGGAAAGAGAGACATATAGAGGAAAGAGAGATAGATAGAGGAAAGAGAGTTAGAGAAAAGGAGAGATAGATAAAGGAAAGACAGATAGAGAAAGGTAGATAAAGAAAGATATATAGATAGAGATAGTTAGATAGATAAAGAGATAATTTTTACCTCATAAGTTGATTCGATGCCTCAAACGTTTCGGAAGTGATTTCGTGCGTCTTAAGATTTCTTCTCGTTGAGTATTTTGATACCACAGGTGCGTACGTCATGAGTGGGAAATGCAATCTATATATAAATATAATACACGTAAGATATATATTTAATATCAACATCTATCACCTTGAATGTATTTTTAAAATTATATGACACGCACTGTATAAATAGGTGTAGTGATGTCGAATGTTTTCCTGCAATTAGAAATAATTGTGTATATAATATGGACATTTTCGATTTTTTTGCTCCCAAGGGCTCCAATGCTTCCAAATTATTAAAAAATAAACCTCTAAAAGTTTTACCTCTTAATATTAACATTTAGATAGTCCCCACCCAATTAAGTTTCATATATTTATTATTAACATGTCATTAAGTATATTCTTGCGCCACCTGTGATAGTACTTGTGAACTCAAATATTATAACACTTACAAATATTCGTAATTCACTTAACCTCTAATTAAATTCATGTGCACTGTTTGACGAAATATTTATTTATCATGGCATCAAAGTTAATTTTGCAGCAAAATAATTATTTAATTGGTGATGTAAACACTCAAATTTTCAGTAATAAATTGCTATCAAAACTACAAGCGCCAAAAGTCTGCTATCACAGATGGCGTCAGAATTTACTTAATGGCATATGCTAATAATAAATATATGAAAGTTTTAATTGTAGTGCGGATTATCTAAATTTTAATATAAAGAGTTAAAACTATTAAAGATTTATTTTTTATTAATTTGGAAGGGCTCCAACCCTTGGGAGCAAAGAAATTCGAGAATATCCATATTAAGGACCACCCTAATTACGTTTTTTGTTCGACTTTGAATCACTTGAAAACATTAGCAGCAAATTGTAAAATCAAACTTTAATTTTTATTTTTTTTTTATATTCATAATGATATATAAAATTTCTATATTTTTATATTTTTAATTGAATTTAATTAATAATTATTAATGATTTAATTTGTACGCTCTCGCAATCCTTTTTATCATTAAATTAAATTAAATAATTATTAAATTATAATAATTTGCAAACAATTTTGATATTAGTTGTAAGGACAAACAGTGAGGTATTTACCTTGGATAAGGAACTAGATTGGTTTGAAAATCCGCTAAATCGACGTTGACAGCGCCATCGAATCTCAGACTTGCCGTTACGGAACTTATAGTTTGGGCCAACAGGCCATTTAGATTCATGAAACCTATATAAAAAAATTATTTGTTGAATTCATTAGAAACCACTACATTAGTAAAAAAAACTTTTTATTTACAAACTATCTAGTTTGTAAGTTTATTACAAAGATAGTTTTATTTTAATAAGAAAGGTGTAGTAATATTATTTATTTTGGTATTCATGGTGAAGTTAGTTATTTCTGATTCATGGTGAAGTTAGTTATTACAGATTCATGGTGAAGTTAGTTATTACAGATTCATGGTGAAGTTCGTTATTACAGATTCATGGTGAAGTTCGTTATTACAGATTCATGGTGAAGTTAGTTATTACAGATTCATGGTGAAGTTAGTTATTACAGATTCATGGTGAAATTAGTTATTACAGATTCATGGTGAAATTAGTTATTACAGATTAATAGTGAAATTAGTTATTACAGATTAATGGTGAAGTTCGTTATTACAGATTCATGGTGAAGTTAATTATTACAGATTCATTGTGAAGTTAGTTATTACAGATTCATGGTGAAGTTAGTTATTACAGATTCATGGTGATGTTGGTAATTACAGAATCATGGTGATGTTGGTAATTACAGAATCATGGTGAAGTTAGTTATTACAGATTTATGGTGAAGTTAGTTTTTATTATGTTAGTATTTAGAAACCAAAGAGTTGCATGGTTGAATTTTAATTTTATTACCTGGTCGTTCAATTTCCAATTTTTCTCGACATATTTTTGATAAAGACTTATTGTCTGCCATGAATGAACAGTCCACCAAGTCCAGGACCCTGATTGGAAAAATATATAGTATAAAATTTTGGGCATCACTGAAATCACAAGCTTCAATAGTGCTCATGTTTAACTTCGCTCGCAGTCGTAGTATTTTCTAATACGGCTACATTTTGCTAATTCAGCATATTTAAACATTTAACCCTTTCCACTTAGATGCAATATTTATATAAATCTCGGAATTCGCTAGCGGAAAGGGTTAGAAGAATATTCTGGAATACCCCTCCCCCAACATGGCAACGAAAGACACTTGTAAATGAAATATGAACTATAAACAATATCAGGAAAATGATCAAATTATGGCCATGGTGGATGGTGGCGCCCTCACACCAATAATATGTCTATTTACCTGTGGCATCCCAGGACAGAATTTATAGGCTCCACAATACTTGTACTAGACGATGACCCTTCATCAGGATAAACCGTAAATTCCAGTTGGGTCTTCTTCGTATGCATCGAAGTCACCTGGCGCGTCACAAGGGCGCCCAAGCCGGAGCCGGTGCCCCCGCCCAGAGAGTGGGATATCAGGAACCCCTTGAGAGGGAAAATACTGATTGTTGGTGGTACTATATTGTTATTGTTGGTGTTTTAAAGGCACCTGCAAACAGTCGCAATCTTCAGTCAATTTTCGAAGTGCCTCGATGATCTGGTGAATGATTTTGCGTCCTGATGTGTAGTAACCTCGTGCAAAGTTATTGGAGGCATCATCTTTGCCAGAGATGAGCTGCTCTTTGGGGAACAGGCGTCTGCTTAAGCCAGTTTTAACAGCATCTGAGAAAATGATAAAAATATATGAAAAATGGCTCAAAAAATTGGGCAAATATCTTCATAATGGGTAATACTGCCTTCGGGCAGCTCAGTGGGCTGGGTTAAGTTCCAATTCGATTCAGGGAAAAATAGTATTAAAGTTTTCCCATTGCCATTTGGTGACATTTTTGATCTATATTTTCAAGTGATAATGGACATCGCTGTTCCCCCAGAACATCCTAAATGTCTTCATACACAAGACAAATCATGCCAGGGATGATTTTACTAAATCTTTCCCTTACCTATGGTTGGAAAAATGGTAAAAAGAACTTTGCAGAATAAATAATACTTTGGAGCAATTCTTCCTAAATGTCTTCATATAGAAGACAAATGATGCCAGGGATGATTTTTTTTTCACTAAATCTTTCCCTTACCTATGGTTCTTGTTTCCAAATCCATCATGAGGGCCCTAGGAGTGTACCTTCCGTCAGGTCGTTCTTTGAAAAATGTTGCAAAATTATTTTCTGCATCCTGATCCGGCACTGTGTTCAATAAGATTTGGCTTTCTCTAGTTTTCAAAATTCCCGCTAGGTCTAGACAGTGTTCCAATCTAATTGAGATGGGAAAAACATTATTCTATGGCGCGAAAAAGTATTGCCAGATTGTTGCAATTACTTTAGAAAATTCATAATACAAATATAATAATATTAATAATATCTTAAATCATTATTCTATGGTATGGAAAAGTATTGCCAGATGTTAAATTAACCCTTTCCACTCGGATGCGGCCGCTTCGGTGGCAAAATACATATAAATCTCGTAATTTACGAGTGGAAAGGGTTAATTGTTAAAATAATTTTTGAAGGTATTCAAAAAACAGATAATACAAGTATTGTATTTTAAAATTATGGAAGTTTGAAGACTTTTTCTTAGGATAGTATAGTAATTTTAAAATCGTTCTTTTCTAGTTTTTAAAATTACTGCTAGGACTAAAGTGTTGCCAGATATGAAACTTATTGACTGTTCTTAATAATTGGTCTTTGTTGGAAAGTGTTGCCAGTTGCGAAATTGATTTACTGTTGTTAATAATTGCTCTTTTTTGGAAAGTTTCACTGAAGAAATTTATTCACTGTTGTTAATAATTGTCATTTTTTGGAAAGTGTTGCCAGATGTGAAATTTTTTGTTCTTTATTTTTTTTACCAGTAATCATATTTAAAATGATTCAAAATCAAAATCAAATTATTGTGGAGCTTAAAAGTACCTTTTTAGTTTACTTTAGTCAATTTAATTCTTAACATATTTTTATTATTTTTATAATTTTATATATTCGTCACTATTACTGTTATTATTATTATTTATTTATGCTTTAGCAATTTTATATAATTACATTATTTTTAAAAATATATTTACCTGTATAGGTTCCAACTTGTTGTTCCAAGCTGAACTCCGGCTTGCCCGATGTGAATTGATATTACTTCTCGCTAAATTTAAAAAAAATAAATTACTCATTAATATAATTAATTTTAACCTATATTATATATTTAATAATTAAAAAAAAATTGGGAATTTAAAAAAGTTTATATGTTAAAATTAGTACATTGAGACGTTAGAAAAAGTTGCTTCTTCTAAGTCTTGATTTAACTTTAAATACTAAATGCATATTTGTAATGTTTTTTATGTAGTATGTTTTAAATATGTTTAGACTTAATTTTTTTAACGCCAACAAAAATGTTAAAATGATTTGCGGACTAGATAATATTAACCCTTTCCACTCGGATGCCGCCGCTCCGGCGGCAAAATTCATATAAATCTCGGAATTCTCGAGTGAAAAGGGTTAAGCATTTAAAATATTACTACAGTGAATCTCTTTCATCAAATTTCTTATTTTATAACCAATTACCATTATGCAATATTTCTATATATAAATATATTTATATATTTAGAAAAACAAACAGTGAAATTCCTGCTCTGGTTTTTGGAATTTGTACAAAGAATGTGCGCGAGGTTTATTTACATGATTTTTTAGAATTTCGTTATTAAAATATTAAATTTTAATATACTAAAATTATATTTACATTTGTCAAAGTGACACTGTCATTGCGATTGGAAATTTGAGCTTACTAGATTTCTAGAAAAAATAATGGAAATAATTTATTTATACTTTTTACATATTTATTTATTATTAATATTTAATTATTATAGTTTTGCTACAATATGCAATTTTTTTGGGACTCTTTAACTCTAATTTTTTTTCACTATTTTAATAAATTTTTGCTTAGTGATAGGAGTCATGATCTAAACATACTTACTAAAATATTATAGGCCTAAGGGATGTGGTTTAATTATATATTTTTTTAAGGTTTGTAGTAATAAGCCGCACACTTAGGACATACACTGTGTATGTTCTAAGCGCTTGTAAAATGACACAACTAATTTAGTTTCATAATGAACAGAGAAGTCCTATTAAATTCATATTTTCTTCAGCCGTTACTTTGAGGTGTGATGTGGTAATTTGTAATTAATAATTTCCAACTTTATAAAAATGTATTACAAAATATTTGTTTACAAAAATATATATTCTGGCATATCATTCTATTTTGTTCTGGTAGGTTCTTAAGGCTACATTGATCCCACATCACTCCGCGCACAGTGGTGATCGGAAACACGTTGTACTTAATGGACTGAATACAGGAGAGATTTCGACCAGAAAAAAAGAATTACATATCATAATATATATTTTTGTGAACAATTTTAAAAAGTTGGAAATTATTATTTACAAATTAAGGGGGCGTCCATTAATCAAGTGAGATTTTTAGGGGGAGGGGTGGAATGACAAAAAATCACGAAATATCACGTAGGGGAGGGAGGGGGTTTTTATAGTAAGATATCACCTGTATTTATTATTTAACTGAAGTTTTAATTTGTTCTTCAATTAATCTATATATTTATTTTTCACCCAGGTCTCCGTGGTGCAGTGGCGTTCGCCCTGGTGTTGCTCATTGACCCGAGACATGTAAAACTGCAGCCCATGTTTGTGACCACTACAATTGCAGTCATCTACTTCACTGTGTTCTTGCAAGGAATCACCATTAAACCTTTAGTCAGGGTGAGAAAGAAATTGTAAAAAGAATTTTGTGAAATCAATGATACTTTGAAACAATTCATTTATTCTAAGGGACTCGTGAATGTTCTTTGAGCTATGTAGTTTGACTGAAGTAGTTTGATTTATTAATATTATGTTCTCTTCTGATTACTTAAAATAACATTTGTAATAATCTATTAATAAATTTCAGATCCTCAATGTCAAACGAGCAGAACCAAGGAAACCAACAATGAACGAAAGGATACACGAAAGGGTAACTATTTACTTATTTAATAAAAATTTTAAAATTTTTATAAATTTATTATTACTCTTATTATTTATTCTTCTAGTTTATGGATCACTTGATGGCAGGCATTGAAGACATTTTGGGTAGAACTGGTAACTACCACGTTAGAGGAATGTTTAAGAGATTTGACAATAAATTCATCCGTCCTTACTTGTTGAGAGATCACAAAGGTAAACCAAGATTGATAAATAATCAGTTTTTTTTAAATACTTTAAATAAATTCAATTATATTTATTTTATTACAGGTGCCGAACCTAAGATTCTGGAAACATATTCTAAATTAGCAATGAAGGATGCCATGGAGTACATGCGAAGAAATGCTTCCACGATTGGCAATATTTCTGGCACCGAAAGCATGAGTGCCATTTTCAGAAATTACACTGCAGGAAATTTGAATGCCAACAGGTATATAAAAAAATATTTAATACCAAATTTATATTTATAATAATTAAGTGAGAGAACTAAAGTAAAATTGAGTTATTAAAATAGTTTCGATAATTTATTTCACGAGCTTTCATAGATGCAATTGCTCACGATGAGAAATATTACAATGTTGATGCTTGAAAGAGAGAAAAATGGTTTTCACAAGATTAATAAATTATTGGTCTAAAATCTAAATATGTACACAAATTAGGCATATTTCAATTAATTCTTTTATCTTTTTCTAAAATTGTCAATTATCATCTAGAAGCGATCAGCACAACGATGATGATCACCATTTTTTGATGCCCAGTAGTGCGGCTTTCAATCACAAAAGGCCCCGAGATCACTTGAAATTGCCAAAAGAGACTTTGTGGTAACTAAAACTAATCAAAGAAGAAGAATTCTAAATAGAAGCAATATTTAAAAGTGATGCTTTATGTAGACAAAGAGCACTTATCGATTAGAAAATTATGCACAAATCAATTTTGATATAATCGATTTATGTTTATGACTTGCACGATATCTTTTAGATGTTGATAATATTAATGGATTTAAATGCCTCGAGTATTTTTCTTTTAATCTGCAGAGGGTTTTTCAGGAGAACTAATTACTAGCAAATTGAATTTCTTTTGCAAAAATAATATTTTGTTTTGGGACAAACAAATTGATTTACTTCTTTTATCCTAGATTTTCTGAAGTCATTAAAATTTTATTATTTGTACTTCTTATGCATTTATTTATCTAATGGTTACACTTATTGTTATAGAGTTAGGAGAGTTTTACGATAACAACTTAAGGGGATATTCTAGTGTAGAAATTTAAAAAAATCGTTTTTTTTATTTCATATTTTCAAAGTTTAACTATCTAAGAATATGGGTGCGAGAAGGTTTTTGAAAATTTTAATTTTTTTCGGAGATATAGGCATTTTACTGACTCGGTTTCCATACTGGTTTGGCTTCACGCAAAACTTCAAATGCGTTTTTCTCAGAACAGACTTTTTCAGTACTGTTGACACGATTTCTCGAGTTCTACTCGACCGATTCACTTGAAATGTTCAGAGAGTCTTGCTTATAGACCTATCTATAGCCCGAACTAGGATTAAACACAAATTCCAATTTTTACTATTTTTAAAAAATTCGAGAAACTCAAAAAACAGTGAAAAAAACTCTTTTTTTTTTCAAACAGTCGCCAATTTGTAAAAAAAATTTTTTTTCACTCATCGCTAGTTCAGGCGATTGCGACATCATTGTAGATTAATAATCTTTTTATTTTTTGCATTTCTGATGGCTACGAGGGCTGAAATCATGTCAAGACTGAGGTACCAATTTTTTGGGACCTTATCAGCTGCCAGTTCTTACAATTTTCAACTTTTTAATTTTTTAATTTTTGTTTTGTATTTTAATAATATTAATAAACCAGTGATAAAAAAATGGATAGTAAAAACATTCATTGCTTTCTTTTACGACACTTTAAAAATGACCTAAAATTCATCGCTCTACAATAGAATACCTCCTTAAATGATTTCAATTAAATTTTTATAATAAATTAGATGCAAAATTAATAAAAGCAATGCTTTGCATGATTGGCTTTAATATTTAAAACGTTATTGGCACTAGACGTTTTGTTAGCATGTTTTTATGTCCAAATTGTAATTTTTGTTAACCGTGTTTTATAAATACTAATAAACATTACTTTTACTCAAAATACATGAATATATGAGTTTAAAATTTGCTAGGAAAAACAAAATAAATAGGGGGCATTAATAAATTTTAAAAATATAAAGAGTATTGTTAAATTTCTTTAACAAATTGTTTGTGCATGATTTCAATTGTCGTAGAATTCTTCATTGTATTAGTTATCATAGTGTCTCGCAATCATCTTCATCAATCATTATAACAAAACATTTCTATTACAATAGAGTAGCAAAACAAAATAGCACAAAAATCTACTAAAGTCCATATTTTTTTTTATCCAAAATAAAAACTTTGAACGCTGTAGCTACAATTTAACCCTTTCCACTCGTATGCCGCCGCTTCGGCGGCGAAATTCATATAAGGGGGTCTTCCTATGTGACGGCCTGTTTTTTAGGGATATTTTAGGATTTTTTTTCTACGACCAGTAAATATTTAGAGCTTCAAGTTTTTTATCATTTATTAACACATATTTGGACAGTATAAATATAAAATTTCAGCTGAAAATATTCAGTCAAACTAGAGTTACAGCGCTCTGAACGCCCCCGCCTCGAAAAAAAGAGCTCCCACTTCCTCCACGATTCCGGCTGATCGGCTTATCTGAAAAAAAAATAAACGGCGTTTTAATTTGTAGGCTTAAAAGCACGGAATGACCTATAATCAAATGAATATAAAAAAAAATGGATTTTTGATAGACATTTGAAATAAAAGTTGCAAATTAGGCGTTTTTTTTTTGTTTTTTGCTATAAAAAAATCGAAGTTATGAAAATTTTCGATTGATAATAGATTCATTCCATGCGTTTAAATATATTGAGTGTGCCCTGTAAATTTTAAGTAATTCGGTCCAGCCGTTTCTGAGATACAATAGAGGAAAGTTTGAAAAACACAATTTTGAGAAAAACGCGTTTAAAGTTTCAACTGCCAACTCAGCGCTCCGAAGCGCTCTTTCTTTTACCTGCTGTATCTTTAAAACGACTTCGAATTTTCTAAAATCGCTTTACTACCGTATTCTAGACATGTTAAGGGACCAATTTATGGTAAAAAAAAATCGATTTTTTTCAACCCATCACATAGGAAGACCCCCATAAATCTCGAAATTAGCGAGTGCAAAGGGTTACTACATTGTTGTATCTACTTTTTTATGTATCAATTACAACTAAATGTATAACATTTACAGCCCTAGCTTCAGCCAACTGGACTCCTCGACTTGGAACATCGATATGCAAGAACTCGAGTACAACCCATCGAAGAAAGACTTGACAGATGCCAAGATACATCACTTGCTGGCCGAGGAACTTTGCAAGCCTTATCGAAGAGTAAATAGAAATAATTTATCTATTACCAGCACTCATATTATTTTTTTATTATGATTATGTTAATTTTTTTTACAGCACCGTAGACTCAGTTACTCTCGGCATGCAGTTGATGACAGGGATCTGTCGACTCAAGTCAATTATCGTACTCATATGAATATCAGGAGAATGGTTGGTGAACGTAAACATCACAAGAGATCCAAACGAGTCAATAAGGTAAAGATAGTGAGTTAATTTGAAATTAGGTGTAAGGGGTATTTTACTTCAAAGACGCTCCCCAAAACAAGCTGCAGAAAACTTTCACAATTTAATCAAGAAGATTTGAGATTTGGCTAATTAGCTAAAAGTTTTAACTGTTTATTTAGAAAATAATATTTCTGCTTTCACTAATCAATGCGTATAATCATTAAAAATATATTGTTTCCTTACCAGGATGGTACCAGACAGAATCATGTCAGTTTTCCCGAGTTCCAACAAAATGGATCTGCTAAACAATTTTCGCATGGTAAGTATAAAAAAATATTATTTGAATAACTGATTTGCAAACTATTTTTTAAAATTACAATTTTTTTATTATCAGATTACTTAAATGAGGTCCTACATGAACAAGGCGAAGATGAAGACACACTAACCATGGATAAACCCATCGAGTTCTCGACTAAGAAACCAAATGGCTGTGATAAACCAAGTGATATGAGTATTATTATGGGAACTACTAATAAGGAGGACTTTGATTGTCCCATCACATTTACTGCTAAATCGCCAAGTATGTGGAAAAATATATAAATTATAAACATTATATTTATATATATATATATATATATATATATATATATATATATATATTTATATATATATATATATATATATATATTTGAATAGTCTTGAATTTGATGTTGATATATATGTTTAATTTGAGTTTAATATTCGGGCGTAACATCAATAAAAATAGTATGAGTTTTTTTTTTAAATTTTATGTTTATGTTTTATGTTTATTTCAACAGTGTGGCATTCTGTTGGTATGTAATTGTGATGCAACCCTTAGTTCAATTTTTACACAAATGAAATCTAAGTTCAATTTTGACCGCCTCAGGAATTTGGTATATCAAATTAATTGCTCTAATTGCGAACTCTTTTATATTGGAGAAACTAGCCAAAATCTGAGTAAACGCCTTAATCAACACAAAAATAATTCAAAAAATCCCAAACAATTTAAAACAATGTTAACTGAACATATTAAAAATTTAAATCATAATATCGATTTTTTTAACCCTAAAATTTTACATTTTGAAGAGAATACAATTAAAAGAAGATTCGCTGAGGGGTTGTTTTTACAATTACATAACGACAAAGTCATAAACAAACGCTTTGACAATACGGCCCTGAACGAAACGAACACGTGGTTTCTTAATAGCTTGTCAAAATTCCTTAAAAAATAACAAAATCCCATCGCCTTTTAAATTTTCCAAAAAATATCAACACATGCTAAAAACTGCTTTGAGAAAAATGTGACATTTCTATCCTAAACTCCGAAGAGTAAATACATAGTTTCGACAACTTGTTAAGTTATCATGATTATTAGTGTGTTTTACCATTTGTGATGTTTGTGTTAAAAAATATATATCTTATCAATGTGCACATACTCATACCATGGATTAATAATGGTTTCATATGCTATATTAGGATACAAAATTGTAAAGTGTTTATTACTATTATTATTATTATTGTTTTCCATGAAATTTCCTTTCATATAATTTTATTTAGTTTCAATTTTTATAGTTAACTTGATTCACTGAATGATGGCTAAGATGCTAGCCGAAACGTATGGATTTTAAATAAATAAATTTTTAAAAAAAACTCATACTATTTTTATTGATGTTACGCCCGAATATTAAACTCAAATTATTAAACATATATATATATATATATATTATATATATATATCTATAATGTGGGTGAATGAATATACATGTGTTAACCAAGCTTGAATGATCAAACTAATGACTAGTCATAGTTATGAGACATGTTTAGCTCAAAAAATTCATATAATATAAAAATAACAATTTTATTAGAAAAACTCCATTGCCCCTTAATTTAGGATGATAAGTTGTGGCTACAACTTATGAGGACTTGTGTTGGTCTTAACAAAGTTCCAAACCTTCTTTAAAAAATTGGTTACAATTAAAGTATATTAAAAATTTATTCACTACATATTTTTAATCACTTGTATTGACTTAAAATAAAATTAATTTTCATTTTAATTTTTTCATCTCTCACTCTCTTTATTCACTATGCTGCCTCTATGAATGTGGCCACAACTAAAAGAATAACAACTCGATGATATACAATTTAATTTTTTTTTAACACTAGATTTTATACTTCTCATTGAGAACTTTTTTGATTTTTCATAAACTTAATCTTGACTTTTGAAATTTTTCAGCACATTTCTAATTTGCACTAATCGTTTCACACATTTTTTTACTGATTGGTCGTAGAATATTGTCTGTTTCTAATTTACTACACGATTTTCAATAAAACACTTAGAAATTTAGAGTTGGAAAATTATTGTTGGCGTAAATATATTTAATATAATAATGTTTAATAAATAGACGAGGAATATTCAATATGTTATCATGTATCAACTTTAAAATTCTCTAAAAAATATTTATAGAGAAATTTTAACAATTTTTAGGAGTCTATTTTCAGATAAAATAATTATGTTACAAAGACGGTCACTTTTGTTGAATAATTGCATGAGTCGGTAGTCGCAAACTGTCAAAAAGCTTTGTCTTTGCTGTTCTATGGAACGTTTTACACAATGTAACTTCTAAACCTAACTCAAAATGGCACAAACGTCTGAATATAACTTTCGCGTGTGTCATCAAAAATTGTTGCACTTATGCTAACATTGTTATTTGACTGTTGTGTAATTTGGAGGTTAGGTTTAATGTAAAACGCCTGATCGAAAAGCACAAAATAGCCCTTTGACAGTTTGTGATCACCAACTCATGCGATTATTCAACCAAGAGACCGGTAACAAACTTTTTAATCCGGAGAATTGCTTTCTAATATTCGAGACATTTATTATTACTTCAATGGCATCAGGCGACATTAATACTACATGAACGACCTAATTTTAAAGTTCCTCAACTTATCAATTAATATAGATATACCTCTATTGAACAATATATATATGAACACAATAAATTTCTAACAATTTTTTCTATTAATTTATGGGACACTTCAGCCGTAACATAGCTTATAAAATAGCGTTGTCATGACAACGCTATATTATGCTTATTCCTTATAGTGAAAATTATGAAAATGTCTCTTTATTTGCCGTGCGATCAAGAGTTTTTTACAAATAAACAAAGCAAGGGAGAATGTTATGATAACAGAATTCTAGATTGTGCAGTTATCATAAGATTCTTCCTTGTTTGTTTATTTTAAAATACGCTTGATCGCACACAAATAGATAAGACATTTTCCAATTTCACCTCCAAGAACAAGCATAAGAGAGCTCTGTTGCCATGACAACGTTATTTTATGAGCTCTGTTACGGCAGATTGCCCCATTAATCATACAATATTATTTGAATCGTTTATTAATGCATATTTCTTGTCTTTTTTTCTTCATTTCCTGTCTGTGCCCACTATGTGCTTGTGTGTGTCCACCACGGCTGCCAACTGTCTACGGCTACCAACCAAAACCAAAAAACCAACTCAACGAAAAAAATCATTGATTTAATAATAACTAATTACGTAATTGTTGATTTGTGAATGTTGTTGATGTTGCATGGAAATGGAATGGTTATACATATATACATATATACATGTTATATATAATATATATATATATATATATATATTTATATGTTACAATTGTTTGCCTTGTATGTATTTTTTATTATTTACCCAGGTGAACCCACCAAATCTGATACCCTCTTATCCCTAACTCGAACCCTTTCTCTCGCCGACGACGGTCACAACGACCAGCAATCATCCTTCCAGAAATTTTACGTTAGCTTTAAGAAATACAACGACAAGTTCGAATAGCATCAGTGGCGGCGGTGGTTCTATTACCAAATTGTCCGCCTCAGTAGTACGAACGAATTAATTAATCAAATCTCGCGTCTTCCCGGGTTCGATCCCCGAAAAACGAGGCTGGCACGAACTTACGCGACCGCCGCCAAGACGCCCGAAGGCGGCAGCGACGAGAGCGCCCGAAGCGATGTAGGGCTCAAGCCGACGGCGGCCGAAGTATCGTTGCCTTGGAGGAGG